TAAATTTGTAAAAATAAAATGAATATAGTAAAGTCAACACTACAAATATATTAAATTTTGGAAATTTGTATATACATGATAAAGCATAAACCATGCGGCATTTTGTGTTCAACTATATTAATTTATTTACCGAAACTTAATTGAAATAATGCGTCTGGGGCAATTGAAGTAAATTAGCTTCCCCTCTAGCAGGCCGTTAACTAAATTTAATTTCTCCAGCGTTCCTCCATCTTCGCAAGTATTTTAACGACGCCCCCGCACAGTATATATACACATACAGATACACATACATTTAGTATAAACATTTCCCAGTTTCTTATATCCATCTGCACGTGGCTTAGATGCAGACATAAAGGCCGAAGTTAATACCTTTCGTAAAACGGATTGTTCTTATTCCGAGGAATACGAGACAAGGTAATGAAAATATTTCATTAAATTAGATTTCACTTTATGCAATAAAAACTAACGTCTTCTCCTATTTATTGCTGACTATCAGTACATATTTACTTCCGGAAATTATGTTTGCAAAACTGCGAGCTTTCTCGAAAACTTTATATTTCATTACCAACATCAAATATTTGTCAACTATTAAAGTTCATTTTATTATCCTTAATGCATATCTTCTTATAATTGTTTAAATACATATCATAATTTTCTAATTGATAAATTAATGAAGAAAAATTCATTATAATTTAAAAAATAATCGTTTCATTGCAAATATAATCATGGTGGGACGACCTCGACCTATACACCTTCTTCATACTGACTGACGATTTGTAATAGCACTTCACACCAATTTAGAGTAATACGTTTAAGGAATTATTAGCAGAGTCTGTCAGACGATTTGCGAGTAGTGTTTTTTAATATAGCCATGGAATCAGACAAACACAAACAATCAGAAACAAACGATAGTAGTGATTATGAAGATACTTGTTTTTCAAGTTGGGGTTTCAAGATGGCGTTTATTACTACTTACATGTTCCAAATCTTACACTTTCATACTTGAACTATTTGCAACTATTACTATCTTAAGACTGTTCTAATACTGTTTGATTTTTAACAAAATAAACCTTCATATTTTTTCTTCAATTTAATCAATTATATATTTATATAAATTAACGTTATATTTAACGGAGTTTCTCAGACGACACGCGAGTAACGATGTTAAAAATTGAGTAAAAAAGCGATAAAATATCACAAGAAATAGTCTTACATTATTAAATATTATAAAATACCATATAACTGAAAAAAGTGTATTATTTTACTTAAATTCCATTTTTTTTTGGCATAATCAATGAAAAGTAATTAATATAAGGCATATGATCAATAGCAATTTTTAACAGTTAATTATTATTTTTGTACATATACAAGTAAGTTAATTGACTTGCATAAAGTAATAATAAATGATTATTTTATAAATTAGAAAATCAATACGATTTTTACTGCAACGTTTAGGTAATGCTGCGTACACACTATGTGGAATTTGTGAAATTTCTTATATTTGACAACTTGAGCAATTTTCATACAATAAGACGAAACAAATATATGGGAATATTTTTAGAAACAAATATTTTATTACCGATGACAATAAGACACAATTCAATTTTAAGACGATTTTTCTATGTAAAAAAATACGTTTTTTTTAAATAACTTGTATTTATTTAGTTCTTTAACTTTTTAATCAAATATGATAATTTAATATCAATAATAGCATAATTTATGCCTTTTATATATCTCAATCTGTATTTTTTTATGTAATTACACAATTCTAGCAATTATTGATGCTATTATAATAATATAATGGATAAAATAAAACATATATGCAATACATTATTAGGCATTTCGCTACTGCTATGTTAGTCAGTATACAAAGTTATTACAAGTTATTTCAGCAATGCTTTAATTATGTATACAATTAATTATTGTACGAAACATTCAGCAGTAAAATAACACTTCAAACGTAACACAAACATTGTATTATGTACAAAGGAGTACATTTAATTAATATTAAATGAAACATTTTTTACTGCACCACAAACAAATATTGCTATAGTGAATATAAAATATTTACACTTATAATTTAGAAATATATTTGTCTATATTATTATTTTGCATAGTTTATATATAATGGCTCTTGGATCGCATGCGGCTCTTTTGATGATAAATTGCAGTTCCAATATCTCTAAAAAAATGTAGATGAGATTGCTACGAAAGGTAATTTTTAATAGGCAAAAAGGCTCTATGCTCCACGAAGTTACGTAAATATTTATGTAATCGTTGGTAGAATTCATGTAAATAGTCCTACTTCGGACTACTAGAATCTTAAAATAAACATCTTAGTAGTAAATTAAATGATTATAAAGTGCTAAATGGCGCATAGGTATTGTGTGTTACATAAGAAAATTATTTTTTATTATTTTTATCAAATGTAAAGAAATATACTGAATTAGTTGTTGACATAAAAGAATTGATTCAGAAATAAACAAAGACGAATCTTTGCGACTTGACATTAAAGTAGGCAATTTCCATTTTTTTACAAGATTTTATTCATATTCCATTTTCTTTCAGGGCGAACTGGGATGAAGAAAAAAAAAAGACAATCACAAAGAGGGAGCTTAAAAAAGGCGTACGGCTTCAGTGTATATATATGTATTGTGTGTATATGCCTGTATATATCTTATTTCCGGATGGTTGGCAAACCGCTGAAACTCGCCCCAAGGACAACAGGAAACTTTGAACGACAACATTACCACCCACCCTCGCATAACGTAGGCACGTTTCGGAATTGAACGGCAAATTCGCCGCAAGCGAAACCGGAAGCGTACACTGGGGATGCATTACAAAATAAAAATGAAAGAAATATTTATATACATATATTTGTGAGTATGTGTTTTAAATGCAACCTCTGAACATTTTAACGTCATTGCGCTGCATAGTGGTTTGTGTGGTTAATTAGATAATTGTACTAGTTTTTAGTAGTAATTAGTATTTAAAATTATAATTTTGTTAGTTCTTCGTTGTTACATATAAATTAAAGTTAAAATTAAGGTATTTTTTAACTTGCTTTAAATAATTGAGTCATCATGTATATTTACAATTGCTTATATCATACTTCTGGCCTATTAACGCTAAAATGTTAATTTGTTGCGTTTGTTCGATGATACGTACATGATTTCTCAAAACTCTCTTTTATGAACTAACATAGAAATATCCCTATTTACGTACAATTAAATTAGTCATAAGTTGTGTGCAGAGAATTCTTATGGTGTATTTAAATTATTTTCCAGTTAAAATATTTCTTATTTAATGTTAAAACTTGGTTTATGGAAACATCAAATATGACGATGTGATTGAAATATTAATTGAAATATTATTAAGTAAAGTGTACGTTCGTTCGAACCATAAAACAATTCTGCACAAGAAAATATAAAAGCATCTATTTCTATAGGAATTTACTGCCTGCATAAAATAAATTTGCTTAATGTACTGGAATTTGCTAATTTGTTAACTGAACACTACATACAATTAAACGATCCAAATATTAATTTAATTATTGAATAATTAAATATCCTCTTTTTTTCCATATTTATTAATGGTTTTGTTTTTTTGCGTGACCATTAAGTACGCATACGCGAATGATGAGAGAAAATGTAACGTAAATGGTAAAAGCATGCATTTCTATATGAATTAACCCTCATATAAACCGAAAATTAATTTACTTAGAGGTACTTTATAGTGATAACTGAATCTAATTGTATACAATTACAAGTACCAAAGTAACCAATCCAATATTTGATAATTAAATAGCGATATTTTTCTATATTTATAGATTTATTTGTCTTTTGACTGAAAATTGAGTACGTATCTGCGAATAAATAAAATAATGAGATAAAATGAGTATATATAAAAATAAATGTCATCGTATTAAAATAAATTTGCTTAGCGTATGGAAATTATGTACGTTAACTGAATTCTAAAGGTATACAATTAAAACTGCTAAATATCTTTTTAATTGTTGGTTAATTAAATGGTAACGCTAAATAATGATATTATTTGCATATTATCCTTCTCAATTCTTTTGTCTTATGAAGGACGGAAGTTAATGTAGAGGCAGAGTTAAAAGGGTTCCTCTGCGACGGAGAAAGGGACCGAAGAAGGAAAAAAAAAGGTCGTAAAGTAAATGGGGTTGGCAATAAATTCGTAGTGTTGGACGTCTTGTTCAGCATATTAGCATGCGTATGGGAACGTTTTATTACTTGCCTGGTTGGCTCTGTGACGTTGACAAAGAGGCCATCCTTGAACCAGCGGAAGGACGGCTGCGAACCGCCGCCTCCGAAGCTGCCTACTCCACCGCCGCTAGTCCTGCACGAAAGGACCAAATTTTCCCCAGCGTGCACCAGACCAGACGGATGTAATGAAATGCTCTGCAAAATAAATTTTACATATAAATAAAAGAAGGAAGTAGCCGTGGATTGTAGATTTTATATGACACAATCTGGACAAGATAATAAAATACAGTTGTTTCGTCTAGTCCAAACCCTTTTTATCACGGAGCCTATGTGCATTTATTATTCATCTCTTCATTGTTACCGTCAGCAATAAAACTTTTGCACAAATCGCATCATCCTGGGGCATTCACATAAAAATTAACAGGACATTTGTTTGGAATTTAATTTATTTTCATATTAAAGAACGAGAGTAAATATAGCAAAGTGTTCACGAACGGTGAACGGCGAGTCCGTTTCCATCGGGATTTATATCCAATTTATATACATTCGTTTAGCGAACTATAATTAATATATCAGTTATGTACGTTAACTGAGCAATAATTATATATAATTGAAAATTCTAAACAACTAATTAATTATTGATTTACTAAATAGAAAAAATATAAATTATATTATACAAAACACATAAAATAAAACTCGTGTATAAAATGATCAATAATGCGAGTTAGTAGAGTAAAATGTACTTTAATATGAATGCGAATGAAACATTAAAACATTGATTTATATGAAATGAAATAAAACTCGTGTACAAAGTATATCAATAATGGATGTTAGTAAATGTATTAATATTAGAATGAGGTTACATTAGTTTTGCATTAAATAGCAAAAAAAAACATATTTTTTTTATGGGAAATTTGCATTATGTGCGTTAATTGGGCACTAATTATATAAATACTGTTAGTATAGCAAAACATGTGTGAAATTTCAGTACGTTAATGCGAATGAGTTGTCTATCGGTAATAAAATTCGATTAATATACATTTAAATACTAATTTATATACTATTACGTACATTAATTGAGAAGTAATTATTTATAACTTTTACTAAATATTTTAGTTAGTTAAATCGTAATAATAACCAACCACATTATTTCCATGTTATCCTTCTCACATAGTGTTTAATATAAAAACGAATCTCACACAAAATAACACTCTTATACAAAATTAATAAACAATGGGAGGAGGTGTAGGGTACAATGTGTATGTTCGTGTGAACTTCGATAATGTTCAAACGAATGTTGTATTCAAATGAATATAACAACATGAATTTACCATATAAAGGATGATAAACAACTACATTATTTTTTATTTTATCCTTCTTACGGAAAAAATACACAAGACTTAAATCTTGCACAATTTAAGAAACAATTAAATAAAGTTTTAATGGAATCAAATTTCACATAAAATAAAACTTGTGTATCAAATAAATCTATAATGGAATTAATTCTGGTAAAGTGTACGGTTTTATGAACGAATGAGATAACAACTGTTTATCAATTAATCGATAATTAATATATCCATTATATACGTTAATTAATCTCTAATTATATATAATTAAAAGTTTTAAATGTTTAGTTTCTTAAATAATACTAAACAATCACATTAATTCCATAATGAACTTCTCAAAAGCATACGAGAATCTCACAGAAAATGAAACTCGCGTACAAACTAAATCAATAATTAGAACAAATAAATATAAATATATAATTGAGTGCGTTTATGCAAGTAAGGTGATAAATATGTGCAAATTAATCATAAAACAAATGCATGTTGGAATGCAGGAAAATTAATATATACTTAGCGGACTATAATTTATATATCCGTTGTAACGTACACAATAATCGAAAATTGAGTTTCACATAAAAACAGACTAGAATATAAAACTCGTTTACAAAATAAATCAATATTGGGAGTAAGATTAATCGAATGAAGCTCCGCAGATGTTGAAGGATATGGTAGGAAGGAAACTAATTGGGATAATAAAAGAGGGAAACAGCGGGAGTGAAAAGATTTTTCAGTAAATAAAAGAACATATTTTTCCTCATCGAACATTGTCGAAGATTCAATTGTTAATTTAATCTGTTATATAAGTATAAAATAATTTCTTCAATAAAAATGATTTTATATAAGAAACATAAATTTTTCTCTTTTAATTTATTCTCTAACATTTATTTATTATTATTCACATTTATTCTATAATAGTAATCATTTTAAATTCAATAGTGATAAAAAATATCTAAAAATTGAAAATGGTCAAAAACAAGTGATTTTTTAAACTAAATAATTAGAACAATTACCTAATATTTAAATACAACTTTGTACAGTCGATATAACAACATGTTTCAGCATAAATACAATAAAAAAATAATTACTTAAAATTTAACAAAACACTAACTATTTTAGTAAAAACTGAACAGTTTGAAAAATTATAACTTAATATTTTTATTTTGTTTGTTATATATATTAATAAATTTGTATTATCTCTTAAACATATTACATACATAATTTCTGCTAATTCATCACGTTTACTTTCAAAATATATTCGATTTTTTTCACGTTTTTTACACATATTAATTAAGCAATAATTTGAAGAATTCCGTATCGTCGTCGAAAATTGCCTGAAACCGCGTCACGCTATTTCCATCCGTTCAACCTATCAATTTTCGTGTATTTTGCACCCCCTCGAATATGCACGGATGTGCGACGCGACGTAAAGTTATGTTGAATATTCGATGAAAAATTTCTGCCGCTTTGTACCGATAAGATTGACAGTTTTCCACGTAGCATGCGACAACAAGATTAGATGCTGCACAGGATACGTACGGAAAAACTGTCATTTCCGATAAACATAATTTTATTGTCACAACGTTTTTGAATTGAATCAATCTCAAGGAATAATATCAAATTACAATTTAATTTATTCTTAATTATTTCATGCAGTAAATTGATTTTTTATTTATCTTTTATACAAAGTAAGACTTGAATATAGTATATTGTAAGGGAATAATGTGCACGTTTATGTGCATGTCGAGTACACAGCAACATCTCGCATCGATTAGTCCGGATTTATTACAGTCCGGTATAAATATTTCAAAATAAACAAAGTATTTTCCTATACATAAATGTTCGTTTTTTTTGTTTCCTTTATATAAGAAATCACTTTTTGTATGGTTTATTTCTATTTTATTTAGTTTCTCGACTAATCCGGTTTCAAACAGTCGGGAATTTTTGCGACATCGATTACACGGACTATATGAGGTATGCTGCATTTTCTTTCCTGTATACAGTCAAATCTTTATTTGTGTTGTTCCATTTAGTAATATTCACTATTAGACAGCTATTCGTGGTATTGCTGTATTATGTTTGTAGCATTTTATTCATTGAGTCTATAACTTTTACATAATAAGTTAACTGCTGCTGCTTGTATACACGAATTGAACCTCTATTTGTATTTAATCAGGAAACTTGAGATTACCTCTTCGATAGTTTATGCTAAAAGTTTTGGGAGTAGTTTCTTGTCGGTAATATAACATGGTGTTTCTGCAATTTCTCTACCATGCATTTCGATTGGCAATTGATTTGAATTGATGTTTGATAAAATTTGTGATACCCAAAATTGAATTCAAAATTGCTGAAAATATGGTTATTTGGTAATTATAACTTGTATGAATGAAAAGAATAATAAATTACTAATTTCAAATGTGATTTGATTATTTATTATTTCTGATAATATAGAATTCTTTACTTTAATTACTTTACAATATAATTTATTTTACAGAAATACACAGAAAAAAACATAAAATGCATGCAATAAACAGACAGAAAATAATATACATTAAAATAAATAAGAAAATCCATATTGGAACTCAAAAAATATATGAATAGATAATAAAAATAAAATAACAATGAAAGAAAACGACTATATATTTAAGTAACTATTTGCGGACGAGCGTCGTATATATCCGCCTTATCCTTTACATATGACGCGCATTCATCGAATCTTAGTTCTAATCGGAAACACATAAGCTTTGATGTTAGATCTGTAGAAACGCCACTTATATTACTGAAATACATCATAACATAATAATACATAGCAGATTCACAAAAATAAAAACAGTTGAAAATTCGACCTTGAAAAATCTTTGTAGCTGATGGTGAAATAAGGATAAAATAATTTAAAAAAATTATATATTTTCTAAATTAAATAATGTAGAAATAAATTTAAAAGATTGTATAAAATTTGTTAATTACATCATATTTAAGTACAAGATTTTGTAAAGGAAAGATGATGTGTCAGTATTCTAAGAATCTTACCGTTTTGCTGTTGTGAATTGGAACCTTTCTAAATCCCTAAGGCAAGATACTGCTTACACATTGCGGTTCTATTCTTAGAAGTATTCAATTAATTACCAGTAAATTAGAGAGTTTTAGGGAGCTCGCTCGAGATAGCATCCGATAGGCACGAGAAGGGTAACTTTATAACAATGGAGAAATGCCTTATCGCTTTTCAACTGATATACAAGAGTTAACATATAATGTTGTGTATACTTCAAAGACCTTGCACACTATTCTCAGGATCATCCAAATCCCAACAAATTACATAAACCTATTAAAAAAATAAATCTGTTCAGATTTAGAGATACTAAAAATAAAAATAGAAAATTTAATTTATTGTAAAATAATGTTAACATTTTCAATCCGTACTATAGTGAATCCGAATTATACGTAGTAGATCGAATCATCGTTAAATGAGGAAACGCTAAACGTAGTTTTACTATAATTAAACTCTAAGTAGTTTAATAACAACTTAACAAATGTACTTTAAGTAATTGGAAAAGTAAAGAAGAACATTCAATTCATCGATTTGAAAGGATTCGATTGCTTTAATTGCATGAACCTTCATTGTGTCCTTTTTCTGCTAAAACGTCGATGCTTTTGTGCTCCGGGCACTATTCGAGTTACTGACTTTTACTGGATGTGCGTTGTGGCTAAAGGTCTTCGATAGATAGAAATAAATGGAAGAAACCGAAACAAACGTGTAATGATAATAAGAAGAAAAAACAATAGTGAAGATCAATACTGGAAGAAAAAAGAGGATTCCTTTCGGTTAAGAAAATTCTGCTTTCGCGCTGTCAA